CAACAATACTCTGATTTCTCAATACCCAAGACACTAATAATAGATGGATCTTGTCATTATCTTCAAGTTGTTTCATATTTTACATAACGATGGATGGGATAACATGGAGCTGTTGAATACCAACAATACTCTGATTTCTCAATACCCAAAGTTTTCCTGAGGGATGACTTACAACATGATGGCTGTAGTGAGGTTGTATAGACATTTGATAGTAATTTTAGGGATGACTTACAACATGATGGTTGTAGTGAGGTTGTATAGACATTTGATAGTAATTTTAGGGATGACTTACAACATGATGGCTGTAGTGAGGTTGTATAGACATTTGATGTAATTTTAGGGATGACTTACAACATGATGGCTGTAGTGAGGTTGTATAGACATTTGATAGTAATTTTGCTTCAGATAATAATTGTCAAAACGTACATTAAAATATTCCGATTGTTTTAGTTATTGTCTGACAAAGAATGTTATGAGAAGGGAGTTTGAACTGTACACAACTCTGTACTTTCTAGGATATGAAGTCACAATTTTTTTCACATGCTTATTTTTTTAAATATTTTTAGGTCAGCCTATGATTAGTTTTTTTCTTTTCAATTTTGAATTTTTATTAATGAATGAGAGTTTTTGTATGAATGCAGTGTATTCTTCATTGTTTTTAATATGCATTTGTTTTGTTTTTAGTATTTCTTAATAATAAATTGTGTATAAAGCCACTTTATTTGTAGCTATTTTTATTTGAACTTAATGCTGTTTAAAGCACTTATTAAGAATCAGAATTATGTACCAACCATGTAATGAAACATTGTACAATTAGTAACAGCACCTACTTCTGTTGATTCTTATAGCATGTTTAAAAGACAATATGTGAGTTACACAAAAGTGTTCTAAAATTCACTGTAAAGGTTTGTCATATTTTTGTTCATGTTGCAACCTTTGTGAACCAAACTAACCCAAAAAAACAAATGGCTTTCTTCATTCTATTTTTTCTTCACACTTTGGAAGAAAATAATAAATTCCAAGAGTACAAAAATTATTATTTGTATCATAAATTGTTTTTAATAACAACTGATTTTTTCTTACATATATAGACTTTTACAGCATGGTGTAACTCCCACCTTCGAAAAGCTGAAACACAGATTGAAAATATAGAAGAAGATTTCCGCAATGGGCTGAAACTTATGCTACTTTTAGAGGTAATATCTGGAGAAATGTTGCCTCGTCCAGACAAAGGGAGGATGAGGTTTCACAAGATTGCTAATGTCAATAAAGCTCTCGATTTTATAGCTAGCAAGGGAGTAAAGCTTGTGTCTATTGGAGCAGAAGGTATGTCCCATGATTTATATTCAAGGCCTTGAAATTTGCCCTTGTCATGTAATATTAACAATATTCTGAATGCTAGAGTTATCTTGAAATATTAACTTCAGTATTCTACATTTATAATATTTACTACCTGAATTATAGAGGTATTATACAATATTTACCAGATTCTGTGTACACTTTTAGGTTATTGCTGATATTTGGGGAAACTTGTGATGTTAAGGGTTTGGTTTCCACAGCTTTATCTTCTACTTCTCTTTCTGCATGAGAGGTTTTTATCTATTGGGGACTTGGGCTTTCTTGGAACCCTTTATCCCTTGGGTCTTGCTTAAATGTGTCTTTTACTGTGGTCTCTACATGGCCAATAGAAGTTCACTTGGGATCCCTTTTCCAGAGTGGTCCCTCAATCCTCATGTTTTCTGATGGCTTTTCCACTTAAGGCAGTACCAAGCTTCCCCTTTTTAGTTGTCATGTTCTGGATTAATTGGTGCTAGCAGTTGATGCATTCAGTTAGGAATAGTCCAATCTCTTCCTTTGTGCTTACCGACTATTTATCGTGTCCTTCTGGTGATGCTGTATTTACTGGTTCAATTGTGTTTTTTTTGCTGAGCCTTCTGATTTCTTCCCCTCCTCTTCTCTTCTGCTTTCATGATACTTCCTTCTTCAGCCTTATACTTTTGTGTTCCATCCAGCTAATATCATCACTCTGATTTTCATGTTGGATTTGTCTGGTCCCTTGCAGAACAGTCAGGACTCTTTTCACATGTAGCCTTCTTCCTGTCTCATTCTTTTTTCAAATCCTCCTTAGAAGTTTATCAGTGGAAGTGGGGTCTTTATCACTGTTGGTCTCTTTGTCGATCCTCATTACCCTCTTGTCCTTCCACTCTTCATCTATCTATGTTCTTCACCCTGCTTTTTGACCGGGGCTGGTTTATCTCAACTACTGCTGGTTACCAGGTGGCTCTCTCAATTACTTTCCTGTTTTCCCATTCTATTGGGTTTTTCTTCCCCAGTCCTCCATGTTCTTCTAACCAACCTGACTGAGTTGTTGATATTGTTCCCCATACCCTTACGGTACCTCCCTTTGAATCTTTGGCTTCCTGTTCCTTATATCACTTCTTCCCTTAAAACTTTAAACCTGTGGTTGTCAATATTCTGATGTGTATGCCATCAATTCTTTTCGCATTCTATTCTGTTGCTTTTATATATTTCTTTATCTGGATTGTGCTTTTCTCCCTAAGATGTCTGCATGGCATAGGGTGATAGTGTATTAACTCCTATACATTTTCTTTGCATTTCTCATTTTTATTCCAAATTGAGTCCCAATCACCTTCTCTGTTCTGTTAGTGTGCTCCATTGTTATTTGCCCCCATTTCTTCCTTTTGTGGTTTCCGATCCCGTCTATTCCTTTTGCAGAATCCTTCATCCATTTGCAATCTTTCTCTTGACAGCTTATCCAATTTGTGTATATTTTATGGATAGTGATGCATGTCAGCATTTCCAGATGCCTTCCATTCAAATGTGTCACCTAACTTGCTCGTTGGCTGTTCACTTCCATAATCCTTTGAAGAAGATTCTTTGGGCTGGCATGCTCATGCTTTTGTCACACTATCTTAGGTTTATGTTTCAGCTAAAAATCATTATTAATAAAGAATAGGGAAAAAAATTACAATTTTAATTTTTTTCACTATCTCAGCTATTGAAAGAGAAAATTCATTTTTTTGTTTACCTTTTTCAGAAATTGTGGATGGAAACATCAAAATGACATTAGGTCTTATCTGGACTATCATTCTTCGTTTTGCTATTCAAGATATATCGGTTGAAGGTAAGCTTGTAATATATTATAAAATGACACTAGGTCTTATCTGGACTATCATTCTTCGTTTTGCTATTCAAGATATATCGGTTGAAGGTAAGCTTGTAATGTATTATAAAATGACACTAGGTCTTATCTGGACTATCATTCTTCGTTTTGCTATTCAAGATATATCAGTTGAAGGTAAGCTTGTAATATATTATAAAATGACACTAGGTCTTATCTGGACTATCATTCTTCGTTTTGCTATTCAAGATATATCGGTTGAAGGTAAGCTTGTAATATATTATAAAATGACACAAGGTCTTATCTGGACTATCATTCTTTGTTTTGCTATTCAAGACATATCGGTTGAAGGTAAGCTTGTAATGTATTATAAAATGACACTAGGTCTTATCTGGACTACCATTCTTCGTTTTGCTATTCAAGATATATCGGTTGAAAGTAAGCTTGTAATATATTATAAAATGACACTAGGTCTTATCTGGACTATCATTCTTCGTTTTGCTATTCAAGATATATTGGTTGAAGGTAAGCTTGTAATATTTGTGTTGAATAATAGGAAAAATAGTTCTGCAGGATTCAGGAATTCTAGGGTCAGAATGTAAAATAGAAACCAGTCAAGTACGTATATATATATATATATATATATATATATATATATGTCAGGAAAATAACAGGAACAGTGCTGCTGGATCCAGATATCTTAATGTCAGGCTGTAAAATATAAACTATTCTAACACATTACACTAGTCTTAAAATATACAGAAATAATATTCAATGTCTTTTTTAATATTCAGTGTGTAAGGAAAAGCATTAGAAAAAAAAAATATATATATGTATGTATGTAGCTTTTAATTACAAAACCTAAAAACAGTTAATGTTTTAAAAACACTTAACAAAATTGCTTATTTTGTTAAAAAATACTGAAAACAATGCAGTGATCAAACCTGGTTACTGTAGTAGATTTTACAGTGTTTAAGATACATAAGCACTTATTATAACAATAATTGTAGTAATATTACAAAGTGCTTAAGATACATAAACAATATAACAGTAAGTGTAGTAGATTTCACACAGTGCTTAAGATACATAAACAATATAACAGTAAGTGTAGTAGATTTTACACAGTGCTTAAGATACATAAACAATATAACAGTAAGTGTAGTAGATTTCACACAGTGTTTAAGATACATAAACAATATAACAGTAAGTGTAGTAGATTTCACACAGTGTTTAAGATACATAAACAATATAACAGTAAGTGTAGTAGATTTCACACAGTGCAGTGTTTAAGATACACAAACAATATAACAGTAAGTGTAGTAGATGTTACACAGTGTTTAAGATACATAAATACTTAATATAATGCATATGCACGGTTAACACAGTCTTTAAAGGACTATTTTTTTATCCTTGATTTAAATATTTTTCATTGTTATTTAATGAATGTGTGACAAGCTTGGAAGAGTAATTACTGTAACAATGATCATGTTGATCTGTTTTAGTGAATTATATAATCTGTTCTACTCAAAATAATGCAATGAATCTAAAAAAAAAAGACCCAAAACTTGAGTGTTTTTGAATAGTTGACTATTTATTGTTTATTTTTGTGATATCTAAAACATGGATAAAAATAAAAAGTGAAGAATCACAGTTGAAGAAACCTGACAGTCAGATTGCTTTCCTTCGATACATACACTTCTCCATAACTAGTGAACTGGCAATGAAGTTTATGTTTCATGGAATTACAATAATATGACATTATGTTCTTTATAACGTGTGTGATAGAATTAAACTGAAATTCAGAGTACAGTCAGAAATTGGAGTAAAAATTATGTAGTGATATTTATGTTTTCTCTTAGAAATGACAGCAAAAGAAGGTTTACTGTTATGGTGCCAGAGAAAAACAGCTCCTTATAGAAATGTAAATGTTCAGAATTTCCACTTGAGGTATGAAAAAAAGACTAAGATTCCTGTAGTTATAAAGTGTTTCTCTTCTTATTTATAGAGTTTGATGCTTTAAAAAAATATGAAGAATTTTGCATGAAAAAATCTGGATAAAATGAAGTGAAAAGGGCAAAAGTGAAATGTTATCTACCATGTTAGTCTAACAAGTTATTTGTTTAGTTACCTGAATTAGAATACATTCACTAATGTTATCTACCATGTTAGTCTAACAAGTTATTTGTTTAGTTACCTGAATTAGAATACATTCACTAATGTTATCTACCATGTTAGTCTAACAAGTTATTTGTTTAGTTACCTGAATTAGAATACATTCACCAATGTTATCTACCGTATTAGTCTAACAAGTTATTTGTTTAGTTACCTGAATTAGAATACATTCACTAATGTTATCTACTAAGTTTGCTATTGAGGATAAGTTGTTATAAGTTCTATGGTAATTATTGTTTTTAATGAATTTATGTGATATATCTTTGAAATCATTTTTCAAATGATTCGTTGTTCTGTTGCTTCCACATTATAAGATAACTGATGTGTCATGCCCTCGGTTAAACCAAAAATATTTATAATGTTTAAAGTATTATGTGCTCTCCAAAATGAATTATGGGTTGGTTTTCGATGTCAGACCACTTATCTTCAGTGTCTATAAAATGTTAAACAGTATCTTAGCATCAATTGTTCTAGTAAGTATTGATATAGCTTGTTAGACTGTTTTCCAGATGGTATTGTTCTAAGTTGTATCATTCTAGTTTATATTTTTACTCTTATAGCATGTATTGTAGCTACTATATTTCTAGTGTTTATTGTTCTAGTTTGTACTGTAATAATGCTGTTGTTGTGTTTACTGTGTGAGTCTATACACATTGATTATAAACTGATGAAAAAGTCCTTTTAAAATAAACACAATACCATAGAAAGTTTGAAATGTACTAAAAACTTGTAGAATTTTCCAAGTTCATATGTTGTATTTAGCAGCATGAAGATTTCGACCTGCCATATTGATTTCAAAAAGAATTATTAAAGGCAAACATCTTACTACACTAGCCATGTACTGAAATGCAGTTTTTCTTTGTCAGTGTTACAGATTATGATATTGTTTCTTTGTCAGTGTTACAGATTATGATATTGTTTCTTTGTCAGTGTTACAGATTATGATATTGTTTGTTTGTCA